CTCATTTGTATTTCTTTTTTTTTGAGACGTCTTAGTATGTAGCCCAGGATAGCACGGAACTTGGTATGTAGTGCAAGGCTGGCTTTGGACTCAAGATCTTCCTGTCTCAACATCTTGTGCAACAATTACGGGTGCTTATTTTCTGCTACTTGATAACATTTTCTAGCAAGGTACCAAATGGGACGCTGGAATGCTCAGAATTCATATAAACATACTTTTGTTATAGTAAACAAAGCATTTCTTAACATTAATATTCCATACCTTTTCTTCAAAAAATCTGCTTTCTAGTCTTCTAAGTGTCTCCTGGTGTTTTCTCTCTGAGTTCCTTAGATTTTCTTTCAGCTAAGAAAAGAAAGAAAAGAAAAAAAAAAGAAAAAGAAAAAAGAAAAAAAACTGTTCAAAGAGTGGGACATAGTCATAGAAAATTCTAAAGATACATTATATGTCATACAATCTTGAACATACACACAGCATCAATGTCCTCTCCTCGGAGCACATTTTCCTTAACTGTCTATAGGTTTACTAGATTGGTACTGCGTTTCTTAAAGACTTTTCATGAGTAACAGTTCGCAAGGCGGCATTCAGTTATATTCTCTTAGGATATATGAAATATGGACTCACAAAATCCAGTCTGTAAATATAAAAGAGAAGAGAGTGGGCTGGGCGGACGGCTCAGCAGTTAAAGCACTCCCAAGCAAGAGAAGGCAGTTCAGAACCCTAGGTTCATGTGACAGGTGGATGTGGCACCCACCTATAATCCCGGCTGGGGGATGAAAGGCAAAGAATCCTCAGAGTGAGCTAGCTAGGGAAAACTAGCCTCGGGGAACTCTGGGTTTGACTGAGACTGCCTCAAAGAATGAGGTGAAAGAGTGACTGAGGAAGAGCCCTTCACATCTTAGGCCTCCACATACATGTACACACACCCCCATACACATTAACACACATGGACATGCCTATGAAAAAGAAAAAAAAGGGTGGTAAAATTACATGGGGCCTGGTATGGTGGCACAAGCCTTTAATCCCAGCACTCACATTGGAGGCAGAGACAGGGGAATCTCTGTAAGTTCTGTTGGGGTCCACAGAGGTTTCCTGGTGAGAGCTGAGCTTGCTTTACACAGCAGGGTTGCATAAGGGGATGGATTGACCATGTGCATGGTCACCAGGTGTTTGGAAGGGTCTGCACTTGACTGTGCTGGGGAGGACTTTTGCTCCACCCTTTGGCATTTCTATAAATTGCCTTTTAGACGAGGCAGATGGGCCTGGTAGGTTTTGACCCAGGCCCTCCCGAGGCTATTCTGTGTTTCTATCTGTCTCTCTCCTCTATATTTCTATCTAAATATTTCTCATTTCTTCCTACCAAAAGGTATTCTGGGGGAAAAAGTGGGGGCGAGTCCCCCACAAAGTTCTAGGATAGCCTGGTCTACAAGGCGAGTTCCAGGACAGCCAGGGCTACATAAAGAAACCCTGTCTCAAAACACAAAACAAAACAAAAAAAGAATCACCATAGAAACCCTCTTCTGGATGTGTCTATAAAGGTGAAAGGTCCAGGAACTGGCAACATAACTAAGTGCTTAAGAGCCTTTCATGCTCTTCTAGAGGTTTGTTTCTAACACCCATGCTTAGTGGCTTACAACTGCCTAGGATTCCAGCTCCAAGCAATCTGAGGTCCTTTTGGCCTCCATGGCACACAAACACAGACATACTTATATACAATATATACATCGTTTAAAAATAGAAAGGTTCAGCTCCAGAGGGAAGAACCACCCTGAATGTGGGCAGCACCCTTCAAAAGTTTGGGGTCCAGGACTAAATATGAGGAGAAAGTAAATGTAGTACCAGCATTTATCATTCTTTGCTTCCTAATTGTGGGTGTGACCAGCTGCTTCGCATTCTGGAGGCTATGACCTCCCCATCATAATGGACTAATCAAAATGTGAGCCAAAATCCCCCTCATGCTGCTTTTGTCATGGGTAGTTTTCACAAGGAGAAAAGTAACTAATACAGGTAAGAGTTAATCAATACAAGTCAAGTGTTTAGCATACTAAACATTTAATGGCATAACATCTTCACCTATTACCTAATAATTTTCTATATTATAATCTGTTCTAATATACCAAATCTCCATCTTATTCTTTCAGATGTTCTGTTTGTGTTTAATTTTTGGAATGGCTTGTTACACTTACAAAATTAATGTCAACATACCAGTTCATGTATGGTTCAAATATCCCCCATCCAGGTGTCTGGAGATGGATCTTTGATACATCATTAGACTCCCCAAAATCTATTTATCCATAAATCATTCAAAAGATAATCAGTGGGGCAGACAAAAATGGCTTAATGTGTAAAGGTACCCAGGAGCCACACAGTACAGGGAACTGACTCCAACTTCTACACACACACACACACACACACACACACACACACACACACACACACGGGAATAAAAGTTAAGGTGAAAATGAGTGGCTGAGCAGAGTGACTCATACTTGTAATGCCAGCAGTTGGAGGTCTGAGGCAAAAGAATCCCAAAGTCAAGACCTGCCTGGAATATATAATAAGTTGCAGGTCAGTCTGAGACACAGAAAGACGGTCTCAAAAACCCAAACAAGAGGCAAGTGAGATGGCTCAGGAGGAAAAGGGTAAAGACATCTGTCACACAGGCTGCAACTTAAGTCAGTTTTCTAAGTTAGTGGATGGAGATGACTCCACAAAGTTGTCCTCTAGGCTCCCTTGTTGTACAAAGGCAGGAGCCTTCACACATACATCATACATACACATACAACCAACACACCATTCTTGCTTTCATTTTTCTTTAAAATACATGTCCTGAATTCCTTTTCAAAAGCTAAATGTGTTTAGACTCAAGTCTACACAAATAAAAATTTTCTACCTAATGTATACATTGCAATCTTAAGTATATGGGTCCCTCACATCTGCCTCATTTCTTCTACATTTGAGATTCCAAAGAACTGTCCTATTTTTTTTTTTTTTCCAGTAAGGCAGTGACTTTAGCCTTGAATTTTAAGTGTTCTACAACAGCCCTCTTTGAAATGTCTGAAATCTACTTCTCCAATAGGTGGCGACATTGTTCTTTAAAAAAGAAAAATCACATCAGGGCACTAGAGTATGAACAAGTTCTTAGTTTATTTTAACTTAGAATGTATAGCTATACACAAGATGGGTAGTCCGAGAGTTCCATAGGTTAACTGTATTGATTCAAACTGCAGCATTGTTATATAAAACAAAACTTGGATATTCTTCCTAGAAAACTTAATATTCCTTCAAATATGGCTGGTTTTTGAGGTGAGCAAAACAAAAAGTACTTTGAGATCTGACAATTATGGAAAACAAAGCAATGGCCATTAGACCTCATCAGGGTCTTCTGGGGTGTTGGAAGCACCTCCCTCTGCTGTTCGACACTTCTCCAGTTTAGCAATCAGTTCTTTCGCTGGATTGAAGACCCCATGGGTCTGCTGGTCACAGACATAGCAGCGTGGGGTGGTGCGGAAATGCTGCAGTGCACACGTCTCACAGAAATAATGCTTACACTTGGTGACAACTGGATTTTGGAAGGTTTGGCGACAGATGAAACATTTGAATGGTATTTCCTCATCATCACTTTCCACTTCGTAGTTTTCGTCTTCATACACACCATAACGGCCCTCGTCAAGTTCACGTTCGATCTGCCACCCGTGCTTGTAATCTGAACGGTCATGGAGGAATTTGCAGCTGTCTCCAAAGCCACAGAAGCCAGTTTCCTTGTAGTCCTTACAGATGTCAGGCTGGTAATCCCAGCGCACGGTGGCACGTAGATGTTCAGGGGCTCGGATGGGGCCCTTTCTCACCATGCCGGAGGAGGCATTGCCCATGGACGTATCCTTTGGCTTCATGTACTTCTGATAATTATTAATTCCACGATAGATCTTGTCATCCTCCTTGCCTCTCAACTCCTCCTGGATTTTTTGGCTGCGCTCAAAGATGGCCTGTGCGTCCCGCTCTTTTTCTGTGTCCAGCTCATAGACAGCTGTCGCCCCCATATCCTCGGGCCCCACTGGTTTGGCCGAGCGCGTGGACTTGTAGACTACGCCCAGACTCTCCTTCTCTGTCTTCTCCTCTTCTTCGCTGCTCAGATCACAGTAGGCCGCCTTCTGTTGACCGCTGCCACTCGTCTTCTGGATCATTGGATTGTGGGTGGCCCGCTTCTTCTCTGGCCGCACCACGGTGCAGCCTTCGTCGCTACTGCTTCCGCTTTCCCCGGAGCCCGGGTCGCACACTGGCCGCTTCCGGCGGCCAGCGCCCCCTTTCCGCCCGGGCTTTTTGAAGAGGAAAGAGCACACCTGGTCCGCCGACTTTCCCTGAGAAACTTGCTCTGCCATCTTTGACTTCGGAGCGAGCGCTGAAACGGCTGGCAGCAGCGGCGGGGCGCTGGGTGGCGCGGGATACTACGTCACTGCTGAGCCGCGCCGCCACGTCACTGCTGAGCCGCGCTCTGCTGGCCGCTGGGGCCGAGAAGGTCTGGGCGCGTGCAGCAGCCGGCAAAGGTTTAAGAAAAAGATGCCCGCGGTCTTTAGTAAAGTGCTGTTGTGGTTCTTGTATCGCAACGAATACAAAATTCCCGGCTCAAAGAATTTACAATCTAGTAGGGGAAGATAAGGTAAATCAGATGTGTTCTGTACCAAATCCCACGAAAAGATATAAGGAATCGTTAAACAGGTCTCTGGGGGAAAGCCTCGGCAAAGTGCATTTAAGGTAAGCCTTTGAAGACTAGGAGAAATTTTAATGGATAGAGATCTATCAGAAATTTATAGGTAATAAAAGAAATATTTTGAATAAATCAAGAAAGACAAAAAGACTGGAGTGTAGCTCAGTAACAGATTGCTTGTCAAATATAACCCCAGACGTTCAAGAAAATAAGATTTCAAAGTTATAAGAATTTCCAATTTGGGTAAATTAACAGATAAGAGACTGTGTATTGGTGTAAATGTATTGTTATGAAAGTTTAAAATTTAAGCCGGGCATGATGGTGCACGCCTTTGATCCCAGCACTTGAGTGGCAGAGGCCAGCAGACCTCTGTGAGTTCCAGGCCAATCTCCTGGTCTACAGAGCTATTCCAGGACAGCCAGAGCTGTTACACAGAGAAACTGTCTTGAAAGACAAAAACAAAAAAATTAAAATTTGATATGTATACAATCTTAACTTACACTGTAAGCTATCTAGACAATATGCTGTTTATAGCTAGGAAATATAGATTCTTTTTTTTTTTTTTTTTGAAATATAGATTCTCGAGGGAAGTGATCAGCACATTATCAGAACTGATATTTTAAAGATTCCTAATGGAATTGAGGCATTCTTGTAATCCCAACACTTGAGAGGCAGAGTCAAGAGGATCAGGAACTCAGAGCCAGCCTGGGCTACATAAGACCCTTTTCAAAATAAAATTAAGATGGGGCTTTGAGAGATGATTCAGTAGTTAAAAATCATGCATTGCTCTTGCAGAAGACTAGAGTTCAGTTCCCAATACTTACATCATTCGGCTAACAACTGCCTATATAACTCCAGCTCCAGAGGCTCCAACACCCTATTCTAGCCTCTTCCAGTACATGCACCCATGTATACCCGCTCCCAACACTTATACATATAACTAAAAATAAACTCTCTGAGAAAAAAGGAATGAAAACAAAATAAAGTTCAGGAGACTGATGCCTGTAATCCTAGCCTTGAGAGGCTGAGGCAGGGATGTTGTTTCAAGCATGAGGCCAGCCTGGGTATACAGAAAGTTCCAGATCAGCCTTTACAAGATCGTGTCTCAAGCAACCAAATAAACGAATATTCCTCCTGCAGCTGTGTATACTTAGGGCTACAAGGATGTGTGGTTTGTAAAGTAGGTTTGCAATTCTTTGACGCTATCGTCAAATGATGGAACCTGATGTGGAGACTCGGTTCCAAGTAACAGAAATGGTGCTGTGCCACTTGAAAGGCTAGACCATGAAAAAAGCTGCTAGGGCTGGGGATACAGGTCAGTCATAGAGTGACTTCACGGCATACATAAGGCCCTGGATTCCATGCCTACCAACACACACACACACACACACACACACACACACACACACACACACACACACACACAAAGCTTCTACACGGCTCTTGAATTCTTCACTCTCTATGTCATCCAACATATAACAAGGAACCCCCCCCCCAAAAAAAATAAATAAAAAACACCAAAAAACAAGGACTCTCCGCAGCTTACCGAGGGCCCAGGTGAGTGATGCTGAGGCCTACCCCCTATCACTGACAGCGTCTGCCCAGCCATATGAATGTGCCACTTTGGAAGCAAATTCTTAAGCTTCAATCAAGCATTCGGATGACTCTATCCCTAGCTAGACCATGGAAATCAGCAAAGAGTGTAAAACAGGCCTTTCAGGAGACTTCCGTATTCCTCCCCCCTTTCATCCCCACCCATACAGCCTTCTAGTTTTTCCTAACATGGTCTCTAATCATCCTAAACACATTTTCCTGTAGAACACTTTCCCACTGACCTAAGAACTGATGGTTTGCTCTAATGCAATTCAAAAGCTTAACTACTGACTCACATGGGCAGGTGTGTTGGCTGAGATTCACAAAATGAATGTATTGCCAAGTTCCCAAAGAAACCGATGCCTAGAAAAAGAACATTGTCAGGCAGGAGAGCTGGCTCAGCAGATAAAGGTGTTTGCCACCAAGCCTGACCACCAGAGCTGACCTGTGGAACCCACACGGTAGAAGGAAAGAACTGACTCCACAAGATGTCCTCCTCTGACCTCCACACAGATACACCCCACACACACATACAGAAAATATAAAGATAAAAAAGAAAAAGAATAGATGACAGTTGAGACATTTCGCTTTCTCTTCTCTAAAACATCCTGGTTTCTCACAGGAATAATTGTGAAGACTTTTGCCGGGGAGGGTTAAATTGTTAATCCAATCTTCTTAAAGAGAGACTGGAGAGCGTTCAGTAGTTAAGAGCACTTACTGCTTTTACAGAGGACCCAGGTTTAGTTCCCAGCACCCACGTGGTGGCTCACAACCTTCGTTCAATCTAGTTCCAGGGGATCCAGCATTCTTCTCTTTCTTTCTTTTTTTCTTTCTTTCTTTCTTTTTTTTTCCGAAACAGGGTCTCTCTGTGTAGCTTTGTGCCTTTCCTGGAACTCACTCTGTAGCCCAGGTTGGCCTCGAACTCACAGAGATCTGCCTGCCTCTGCCTCCTGAGTGCTGGGATTAAAGGCATGCACCATCATTGCCCAGCCACCAGCATCCTTTTCTGGCCTGCTCCAGCACCAGGAATGCATACAGTGTACTTACATACATGCAAACAAAACACGCACACATAAAATCTTTTTTTTTTTTTTAAAAGAACAGAAAGAAACTTACATCCTCTAATTCTTTTTCCACTTGGATTTTTCTCTTCTGGAATTGCTTTATTGTCTTTAGTTCTGTCTGAATCATGCTAATTTCTTTGGCTTTTTGAGAAAACTGTCCCTCCAACTCGTGTATTTGTACAATATACTTTTGTTCCTGTATTCAAAAAGAAGTAAATGAGTTAGGAAAAACAAGTGTTCCACAGAGCCATGCTTTATCTGAAGCCTGAGCCACTGTGTATCTTCCTGAAAGAACTATCCCATCTTCATTTTACATAAAGCTATAATTTTTGCATAAAATTTTAATTTCTGTTAAATGATGCCAATGGCCTTAAATAAGAAACAAATTCAGGGAATTATTTTTTGTCCATGTAGCCCAGAGAGTAGAATGTGTGGTTAGTAAGTGAAACCCTGGTTTAGTCCCCAACAGCAAATAAATAAAATCCAGACCAAATAAGACACCTCTAAAACTCAAAGCCTTTGTGTTTAGTTGGCAACATAGTCTTACAAAAGGAATTTCATATTATTTTTAGGACAAGGTCTTCCCACTGCTTCCCTTGAACTTCCTTCGATTCCCACTACTCTGCCCTTGAACTATGTAGCCTAGGATAGCCTTGAACTCCTAAAATCCTCCTGCCTCAGCCTCTTGAATGCTAGAATTGCAGGAATGAGTCACCACACCTGGTTTTCACTTAGTTTCTAAACTGTAGTAGTGTTGAATTAAGGAAGTAGTATGCATGAAGTCCTGGGTTCAATCTTCAATACCACGGGGAGGAAATATTTTTTTGCAGTTTTGATCAAAGATCTTTATCAATATGTATTTAGGAGAAAAACCACTCCTCTTCCAAAAATTTCTCATTATTTTGATCTCTTCCAATAATCTACTAGTGGTGGTATTAGTGTTCTGAGATTTTTACTGTAGTAAGCTTTAAGTAATGAGGTAATTATACTGATACCATTTAGAACCAAGACTCTTGGTAAGGGATAAAGGTGTATCAAAATCAAAATTAAAATGTTGTGTTTTGAGTCTGGACATGTATGTAATATAAGGTATGACACCTGCCAGCATGCAGAAGCCCCTAAGTTTGATATATCCCAGTCCAATATTCTTTCATCTGAACTCCAAGTATTATTATTGATTTTGAAACTTGGTATCTATTTTTTTGAGACAAGATCTTGCTTTGTTGCCCATAACACTGGCCTTGAAAACATCTAAACTCTTAGGCTCAAGTAGGACTCCTACTTTAGCCTTTGAAGTAGCTGCTGTGGGTCATATGCCTCCATAATATGCTACTTTTGAACATTTGTATAAACAAGTCCATGGGTTTTGTATTTGTTCATTTCTTGTTTTGTTTTTGTTAAGGATCTGGGGATCAAACCCAGGGCCTTGTGGATGCTAGGCAAACACTCTACTAAGCTTCTGGACCCCCTTTCACTTTTTTTTTTTTTTTAAATGTGCCTGTCCTGGATCTCACTCTGTAGAACAGGCTGGCCTCGAACTCACAGAAATCCACCTGGCGCTGCCTCCTGAGTGCTGGGATTAAAGGTGTGCTACCACCACCTGGCTCTTTTTTTGGTTTTTTAAGACAGAGTTTCTCTGTGTAACGCCTCTGGCTGTCCTGGAACTCACTCTGTAGACCAGGCTGGCCTTGAACTCACAGAGATCTGCCTGCCTCTGCCTCCCGAGTGCTGGGATTAAAGGCATACATCACCACCACCGGGCTTCACTTATTCTTATTGGGCCTAAAATAATCAAACTCATTAGAAATCTGGTACCCTAATAAGTAAACTATCAGTATAAGGAGATACTCACCAATTTTTCCTTCTCTTCTTTGGCTTTTTCCTTTGTTTCAACCAATTTCTGTTTCAGTTTTTCTATCTGTAGAAGATAAAATGCCAGAGTAAGGAAGATACAGAATTGCTTTGTGTCCTATTTCTATTCATATACTTTATTATTTTATACAGTACTAAAGCCAGTAAGCCAGGAAAGACAGTAAAGAAGGAGGGGGCAGGGATTTGCTCATATATTTAATCTGATTGACAATTTCCAAGATCTAGCTATCACCCTAATTAGTGGATAACTCTTTTATTGCTATAAAAACTACAATATTGGGCAGGGAAGATGACTCAGTGGTTCAGAGTGTTTACTCCTCTTGCAGAGGACCCAAGCTCAATTTCTAGCACCTACATGGCAGCTCAGAACTGCTTATCTCCACTTCCGGTGGGGTATGGTATCTTCTGGCCTCCATGCAGGCTCCTGCATTAATGTGATGCCCGGGCACACACACACACACACACACACATACACATAAAGCCTAACGTCAAGTTTACTGTCAACCTTTTTTTTTTTTATTATTTTTTAAATTTGGTTTTTTGAGACAGGGTTTCACTATATAGTGCTGGCTGTCCTGGATCTCACTGTGTAGACCAGGCTGGCCTCAAACTCAGAGAGTTCCACCGGCCTCTGCCTCATGAGTGCTGGGCGTAAATGCATGTGCCACCACCTCCAGGCTCTGTCAACATTTCTAAGTGGGCAGGTTAGTGGTACTAAGTTTGTTCATACTCTTACCTAAAAGATCTCTAGAATTTTTCATTTCACATTTCTCCTTTTCCCTTCCTCTCTGCCTCTGGCAATCACTTTTTACTTTGTTTCTGTGAATTTGAATCCTTTTTATATTTCAAATTACTTGAATCATGAGCCTTTGACCTCTTGTGACTGGCTTGTATCATGTAACGTAATGTCCTTGAGGTTTACTATACTGTAGCATGTTATGTGGTTTTCTTAAGTCTATACAATTGTCCATAAATATGTAAACCTGATTATCTTTTTCTCTCTGGGGAGGAGTGATGAGGTTAGGGACAGGGTTTCTCCATGTAGACCTTACTCACCTGAAACTGGATATGTAGACCAGGTTAGCCTGAAACACACAGAGATCTACCTGCCTCCCAGGAGTGCTGGGATTAAAATGTATGCAGCCACACCAAGCCTCACCTGATTTTCTCTATCCATTTATTTTTTTCATAGATTTTTAAGTTGTCAGTTGTTTTTTCAGATTTATAAAATTATGTGTTGTATCTGAATATGGCTGTGTGTGGGGGGTGTCTTTGGTGGTCAAGAAGCATCAGATCTCCCTGAAGATGGAGTGATAGGCAGTTGTGAGCTGCCCGATGTGGGTGCTGGAAACCAAACTTAGGTCCTCTGGAAAAACAGTACACACTCTTACCTGCTAGCCATCACTCCAGTGATATTTTTAAGTTGTTTTCATCTCTGTTAATGTAAATAATGCTACAAGAAAGAAAAAAAAAAAAGCCAGTGATAACAAAGCTATTCTGAAATAACAGCTTGCTTCAAGTAAAGTGTTAACTACAGTATCCTAACCATGTGATGAGATTTCAAGGTCTTACAATCTTTCAAAATTAAAAAAAAAAAAACAAAAACCTTAGCATTTTAATATAGAGGCAGATAGATGTCTGTGAGTTTGAGGACAGTTAGGGCTATATAGAAAGACGGTCTCAAACAAATAAAAAACAAAACAAAATTAAAAAAACTTTAAAAAATATAACCATGTCACATAAACTCAGAGGAAGGCTGTGAGGTTCAGTTTTCTACCTACCTACCATATTATCTTTCTCCTGATCCTGCTTCTTCAAGTAGCTTAATACAGACATAGTGTCTTTTTCCAGTTTATACTGCTGTTTCTTTAAGTCTTCATTATTTTTTGCCAGTCTTCGGGAAGTATCACGATACTCAATCCTAGAGAGTTCTGTGACTTCCAATCTGGCCTCCCAGAGAGAGGCATTGGCCTTGGCTCGTTCAATCACTTGGTCTTCTGTTTTCGATACTTTCCTGTAGAGGATGATAGTGGCACTATGGAACTTCTTTACTCTGTTAGCACTATTTCTCTTTTGTTTTCCTTGGCACTGCCTAGCACATAAAAGCGTATATTGTTGGATGAATGCATTAATAAGTACACATTTGTTTGTATTCATGGAAGAGAAGATGAGCGCTCCAGGGGATGACTTTAAAGGACCAGGAAAACGAAGATGAAATAAGAGGCCACATGCATTTCATAAAGCTCTATACCTCTCATTTACTTCATTCTTCCGTATTTTTTTATTTACTTATTCTTGCTGTGTTGAGAATCAGACCCACTCTCTAGCATGCTAGGCAAGTGCTCTACAAATGAGCTGCAGTCCCAGCTCCCAAGTTTTTCTACTGTTTCACTCAGTTGTGAACCTTGGTTCACTCCCCTCACTATGGTTACATTTCTACACAAGGACACATTTGTTTGTATATCTGCAGTCTCCACTCCCAGTTTTTGTTAGTGTTGTTTTGTTTTGGCTAGTTCTTGCACAAAAGATTAAGTTACTTGGACAAGTATGTTAAATACTTTACTTGTTGGTACCACAGCATACCACCCTTCAAGAATGCCTGAAAAACACACACCATAGTCATTTATGCAGAGATGAAAAGAATTTTTAAGGCCCCGGGGATGGAGACTGATAGCAGTAGAATGAATGTTTATTGACTATCTAGGTTTGATCCCCAGAACCATACCTTTATTGAAAGGGTAGATTCAAGGCTTTAATCAATAAAAGGTGAGGTTCTTCAGAATAAATATTGCACTAGCATTAACAAAACACTGCCCTATGATAGGCACTAGTTATAGAAATAATAATGCATAAAAAGTGTCACCTACATTTGAGTTCTAAATAGTCTCCCCAAAGTCTGTAAGTGGATCTGTCCCACTTACACTGTCACTGTCCATATCCTCTCAACTCCTGGTCCTTAGTCCTTCTGCACAGCTACCTTTTGTTCTCTTCAAACTCAGGCCAGCTCCATTCCCAATCCTCCAGTCTGACTTAGCGGCCGCTGGCCCTTTCCAGTGTGATTTAGACACTAGTAATAGACTGCCATTCTACAATCGCCAATTGCTTCCACAAAGTATCAAGAATTGATGAAAGTGCTGGGCAGTTGGGGCACACACACACATACACATAAAGCCTAACGTCAAGTTTACTGTCAACCTTTTTTTTATTATTATTTTTTAAATTTGGTTTTTTGAGACAGGGTTT